CCGTGGCCTGTGCTGGTGACTCTTTGGTAAGATTACAGATGGAGAGGTGGGGAAAGATAAGCAGAAATGCTAAGAACAGTTCTCTCTGGCAACGGCTCTTGTGCTTCTCCTCAACCTGGTTTTTTTCCACATTCCACATTAACACATAAAGAACTTGCACCTCCAACCTGGCCCCGCCTGGGCTATCCTGGGGGACTGTCAAGCAGATGGTGCGATTCTGTCTTCAGCCATGAGGTGGCAGCAAAGGCCAGTACAGCCTCCCTGGGTTCCATCTCCATCTCCCCCTCCCTCCAAGGGTTTTGGGGTCCCTCAACAGGGAAGGGGGCAGGTACATGGGGGGAGTGGGTGCTGAGGACAACCCCCAAGGGTCTGCCTGCTGGAGGATCTCCCCATAGTGTCCAGAGCTGGTGTCACCATCCTCACCCACAGACTGGGTAAACGGAGGCCCAGAGCAGAGAAGGGCCTTGTCCACCAGCACACAGCCCGGTGGGTCCTTACTCTTGACTGGTCTGACCAATAACCAGGGGTTGCTCGGCTTTCTCTGCAACACCCTCAGGCAACCTTGAAAAGATGGGGGCACAGCCAAGGCCCTGCAGCAACCTAGAAAAGGAGACCTTTCAGGGCCCTGCCTCTTAGGCACGGAGCAGGCAAGGCCTCCTGGGAGCCAGCCTCCGGCGGCAGCTCCAACAGGTGCCCACCCACGATTCCAAGGGGAGAGGAGGGCTCAGAGGTTTTGGCCCCTTGGCTGACCTGCCCTGGAGTCCCCGTTGAAGCCAGAAGATGGAGGAAGTTAAGCAGCTAGGGTGCAGGTCCTGAGTAGTTAATACGGAGTAAACTAAAAGTCCGGGCTCAAATGAGCTGACAAAGGGCCCAGATAATTAAAGTGAGCAAACTGACTACCAGGGCCTCATGGGAAGCAAGGGACAAAGAACAGGTCCCCAAACAAATGGGAGAAGCCCTGGAGTGAGTCCAGTGCAAACAAAGCAGCCCGCTTGGCGGACACCAAAGGCCTCCCTCACCTGGAGCATCCCCACCTTTTGTCCTGCTCACCAGTACCAGACCCTGACTGGATAAAGAGCCCACGGGCTTGAGCATCGACGGTGTCGCCCTTCGGAGCCCCTCTCCACCAGCAGGGCGTGCTGCCATTTTTTCTTTCCACTAAACGCACGCATGCTCAGTCCTTCTCCACGGCTGCTTTGTCAGCTTCACTCTCCGCTGCTCCCAAACTAGAGTCCGAGAGCTACAGGGAACTGGCTCCCGTGCTGCAGGAGGCCTGTTGAGGCTGGCCCCACACCAGCCAGGCCAACACCAGGAAGAACAGCAGGGTGAGCGCCACAGCCAGGCTCACTGCGGGCACCGTGTCGGAATGCTCTGGGCCAGGGATGGCATCGCCGGGGTCGTCACCAAGGGCATCGGGGGCCCCAGAGAGCTGGGTGTCAGAGATCTTCTCTCCTTGGGGCCGCGGGCGGCCCATCTGTGGGAAGAACGGCACCATGTCCCCACCTGCCACGCATGTGCCCTTTGGCCCCGGCAGGGGCACGGGCCATCGCAGGGGCCACACCGAGCTCCCCAGTACCCTGGAAAGCACTGCTGAGCCTGTTTTCTCCTCTGCAGAGTGGAGATGAAAAAGGCCCCACCCACCGGCTTCTCTCGCCCTCCTTACCTTGCCTTGGGACCACAGGCCTAGAAAGTCAGAAATGGGCAGCCCCTTGGCCGACCTTGGACCCTGGGCCGGCCCCAGAATGCAGCCTGGCCAGTTCACCAGGGCACCTGGAAGCTGCCAAACTGGTCTATAGGGACCTTTGTCTAGCCTGGGAAGAAGCTAAATCCCACAGTGACAGCCACCACTGCCTGATGGCTGCAGCCAAAGGTTATACTCCAACCCCCACCCCAGCAGGCTGGCATGAGGTAACCCGCAGTTCGCACCTATCAGCACTCACCGCAGGCTGAAAAATGGCCCCCGGTCACATCCATCTCTGATGAGAAGAGGGGACGGAGATGCAGGACCAGGAGGCCCAGAGGTTGACAGGGGCAGGGGGAGCCTCCGGCCCCTTCTCTGGACAGTGGCAGAGTTTGAAGTGGGCTGTCTGGACTGGCCAAGGGCAGAGACGTCCAGTAGGCAGGGTGGTCTCTGCCCAGCCTCCCTGCCGTGTGCTTCGTGACTGCAGGGCACTCACCTTCCAGCCACGTCCTGGGAGGAGCCAGTCCCCCCAACACACACTCCCAGGCAGGGAGCCTCGCTGGACCCCTGTGGACCTCTCCTGGGCAGAATCCCCTCCCCAGGCCTCCCTGGGGAGCAGCTGGAGTTGTGCTGCAGGAAGTGAGGGATGGGCCAGGTCTGGGCCTCCGCCCTCACCCTCCTGTGGGTGTGTCAGGGCCGGAAAGGCTATCAGCACAGCCCGGCCCCTCCCAGATCAGCCCTCCTGCCACCTCTAAACTTCTGGGGGACCTGAGCTTGGGAAGAGGACAGGCTCAGAATTTAAGGGAGCAGCGGCTTCCAGACCTCCAAGATCCTGGTGCCACGCTGGGCACAGCCAGGGAGGAGACAGCCTCACACTCTTCCCAGTGGTCAGGTCCAGGACACAGGACCAGCACAGAGCCAGGCAAGAGAAAGCAGCAAGAGGGGTAAAGTGGCTGTGAGGACCACACAGACGATCCTCTCCAGACAAAATCATCACATCGTCAACTTTAAAAACAGAAATGTCTAAAACCCCATTAGTGCCCACAACGGCAGATTCCTCAGCAAGCAAGAGTCCTCCCGGGCAGAGCCTGGCAGGGTTGCTGAGACCTCCATCATCAGCTGTTCCACAAACTCCTGATCACCCAGCAAAGGGGACAGGGAAGAGCACATTCCGTGTGACCCTGCTCAGGAAGAAAAAGAAGCCGCCCTAAAAGCCACACCAGGGAAGTCCCGCATGCCCCAAAAACACACAGTGAGTGCTTGATACACGGTTCCCCTCCCTGAGCGAGACCAGTGCAGGTCAATTCCATCTGCAGTCACAGAAGGCACAGCACTGACTTCCTGGGCTGGGGTGGGGACTTCAGAGACCCGAGGCCCAAGCAAACTTCCAGGATGACAGAGACACTCTGCATCATGATCGGGGACTTATTCTGGGCTACAGGGCTGTCAAACTCATCAACAGATATACTTAAAATGAGTTACTTTTGCTGTCCATAAATTACACCTTAATAAAATTAATTTTTAAAAAGAGCCAGAGGCCAGGCCCAACACTCCTATAGTCCCAGCACTCCGGAGGCTGAGGCAGGAGGATCATCCCAACTTTGAGGCCAGCGTGGACTATATAGCAAAACTGTCTCAAAAAGTTAAAAAAAAAATAAAGAGCCAGAAATAAGAGCATGGTCCCATTTATACAAGGTTCAGAAGCTAGAAGTCTGATCCACAAGGCAGAAATGGGGCAGGGACATGTAGGGAGAGGGTCTGCATGGGAGGGAAAGCCTAGGACTTTCCAAAGCAATTGGAACTTCTGTTTCCTGACCCAGGCTGTGATTTCAGGCACACGCAGAGCTTGATTCACTCATTGAGCTGTGAGTTTAAAATTTGTTCTCTCTCCAGCTGGCAGCAGTGGCACACACCTGTCAGCCTAGCACTCAGGAAGTTGAGGCAGGAGGATCACCAGGAGTTGGAGGTCAGCCTGGGCTACGTTGGGAGTTCAAGGCCAGCCTGAACTACATAGAGAGACCTTGTCTCAGGGGGAAAAAAAAAATGTTTATTTTGTTCCCTCTCTATTGTACAAATGGAGAGCTGTGCAGGGTCATCAATGCGTCACCCTTTATTGGGGTATCTGTGTCCAAAGTCTGCTCTTAATAGTGAGAAAATGATTAAACTATGATGCAAAGCAGAGGGCTGGCTGTGCATACCTGGCACGCCCAGGCAACGGAGTGGCTGGGCGGGGGCGGCAGGGCCGGGCTGCAGGGGGAGGGCCCGACCCTGGCTCCACTTTCTCTGCTGTTCCACTACAATCGCGTTTCTATTATAATAAAAGGGAACTGAAACTTTAAAAGCATGCTTTACTATTTTGATTGCTAACATTTGGAAATAACCCGACCGCTCAAGTACAAAGGATCAATCCGCTTGCGAACGTGGGTGAAAAAGCGGAAGTGACTGGGGCTGAAGAGTCCTGGGGACAGCTGGACGCAGCAACCGCGGGGACGGGAGGTTTAGGACCGGCTTCTGGAGGAACTTTCGGTTTTGGTTTTTCTTAGTATTAAACTTGTATTATTACTTGAATGATCTGAAGTTATTTCTGAAAACGGAAAATTCCAGGGCGGGGGTGAGGGAGACAAGTCCGGCCCGAGATTCTGCCCGGCGCCCCTGGCCGCCTTCGCCCGCAGGCCCGCGAACTACCCTGAAAGCTCGGCGTCTGCACC